TTTATAGATTTAAAGGTATTTGCGGCTTTTCTAGCCTGATTGGGACATTTAAGGGTGGGGCTCACAGTTCCTCAGGGCAGAGATTCCATGGGCCCTTCCCGCTGCCTGTGCTGAATTAAATAATACAGGACAGTGTCATTTGGCTTGCTGGTTAAAGGAAGACAATGGGCCTTAGAATCTGTAAAGGTGGGCGGGAATGAAGCTGGTCAAATGTACTGAAAGGGTTTGGTACCTGTTGCTGCTAGCAAAGGAGGGGCTGATACCCCCTTCTAGCGCACTCCCTTGAAAGAGGCCTGGTTGCTGCTCTGCCACAAAGGGAACTGGTAGAAAGGCAAGAAAGCAGAGTGCTGTAACTAATAAACAGGGTTATCTAGAAGCCATCAGGACTTCAAAGTTCTCCAAGAGAGGAGGAATCTGACTCGGAGACCGGCCAAAACCTCGTTGGGATGGGAGAACCGGAGGCTATGATAGGGTCCGATAACGGACCAGCCTTTATTTCACAAGTAACACAGGTAGTAACCAGGGCTATTGGGGCAAATTGGAAATTACATTGTGATTATAGACCCCAGAGTTCAGGGCAGGTAGAAAGGAGCCATGGAAACTGGCGGGGACTGGGTGGCTCTCCTACCATATGTCCTTTACCGGGTAAGGAACTCCCCTTACACCCTGGGCTTTACTCTCTATGAAATCATGTTTGGTCAGCCACCCCCTATCATTCCTAACCTTAAAGCTGACTTTCTTGCTGCAAGAACTATCTCTTTCCTTGAGAGGGCTCCAGAAGGCGCACGAGGACATTTGTCCACGCCTCCGCGCCATCTACGAGACCAGCCCACCCCCAACTCCTCATCAGCACAAACCAGGAGATTGGGTCTATGTCAGAAGGCACCACTGGGAGACCCTCGAGCCACGTTGGAAGGGTCCCTACACTGTGGTGCTGACGACCCCCACCGCTCTCAAGGTAGACGGCATCGTGACCTGGGTCCATCACACTCACGTCCAGTCAGCGGACCCATCTGTGATCCGGGAAGACTTCGTCACCAAGTGGAGTGTCGATCGAGATCAACGCAACCCGCTCAAGCTCAAGCTACAGCATGCTCAACCTGCCTGATGCTAGTAACATTGCTCACGATCACTCCTGCCACTGGGAGCCTCCACAATACTGTAATAGACTTAGATAATGCCTGCATCTTCATGGGCATGGCTCCAAAGAGACAAGGACCATTTATAGAATCACATGTTTGGTACAAGATTTGGCTGCATGAAGCGGCCATGATGCCAATATTATGTTTCATTGTATTGATGTGTTATATTAACCTTTGATGCTTTTGCAGGTTTGAATGTATGTTGGCTGTCCTGGAAGGGAGCTGTGTGGGGTGACCCCCAAAAATAAAGGGTGTCTAGCTGCCAAGGGGGCAGGTGCCCAACTGGGCAGGAAAGGGTGCCCATCAGGTTTTAGACTCTGTTGAGAGACAGCTAACAGGTGGCAGCCTGTAATACTGTCTGGCAGGCCTGAGTCACCATGCCCATGTCAGGGGTAGTAAAGCTGGAAAAAACCTGTTTAG